GTAATCTAAGCCAGGATTAGACTGGCTAGTCTAATCTGAACCAGGATTAGACTGGCTAGTCTAATCTGAACCAGGATTAGACTGGCTAGTCTAATCTGAGCCAGGATTAGACTGGCTAGTGTAATCTGAGCCAGGATTAGACTGGCTAGTGTAATCTGAGCCAGGATTAGACTGGCTAGTGTAATCTGAGCCAGGATTAGACAGATATACTCACTTGTATAGCTGTACAAGAGTCTTAGCTTCATCTAGTTGTTTACCACTCAATAGAACATTTAGAGGATTGGTCACAGTAAAGAAATGTTTAGCTCTTCCTTGGTAGGTATTCTGATCCCACTTTGGTTCATCTAAATTAGCTTTAATTTGGGATACAGCAAAGTCATCATCAACACTGACATCTGATACACCCTCTGTAGCCATTATGATCTACAATGAAATAGAAACACAAATTGAAGCACTTTCAATCTGATTAAAATAATATCCTAATTTGGACTTTAATGTTTTCTCTCATTTTTTTTAATTAATTCATTCTTTTATATATTTCATTTATTTTTATCATACACTTTCTTTTACTTTATTTTATTTGAATTTATAAAAAATAAAATTAGATTCACCCCATACAATACATCAGATTTTAATTCAGATTGCTGCAAATTCTTGGTCATATGTGCACAGGTGCATGTCTTGAAGTACATTATAGTGGGCCATTTTGACCCCAATCCCTAAAAATAAATTACATATATCAAGGTTTCATTGTGTTCAATGTATGTACCAAGTTTAAACCAAATCAGTTCAAACAGGGAAGAACATTCTGACAGAGGTTTATCTAATTGATTTGATTTTTTTTTATCAGTTTCTTCACATGTTTTCTTTATTTAAAATAATCACAGCCATGTAAAAATCGTACAGAGACATTGGCGATGTAGATTGATTAAGAGGATACTGTAGAAAACACAGATTACACCCTTGTTAGAATCACGGTTACTAGAAGAAACAGCGGTAGAATGGTATGGCATTTTGAATCAACTGGAAACTAGTATCTCATTAGCATATTGAATCTGGGGGTGAAGGAATGCACCAAATGAGAAACAAACTGACACCTGAATTTGATGTTTTTTTATGCAACTGTAGATAAAATATACAAATTATACATCAACACATTATATGCCTATAACAGGTGTAAAATCTTCTGGAACTGTCATTTTTATGCATTTTATTTGCATGATATGGCAACAGTACTAAAGTGAAAACAAAACTTGTATTGAAAATATGTGTGTAACTGTCAAGGAAATTGCAACACTTTGTAAATTCGATATAACAGTTTGACAATAATGTATACCATTTTGACTATCACCAGGAAAACAGTGGCCAATGAAACTTTATCTTAGATAAGGGTACCGATTTCAGTACAGGTGAAACATATGGATTTGAATACAGTTATTGTAATTATTGAGTACGGGTATGAAAATATACTCAGTACAGTCACTGAAACTAGCAAGTTTGGTATGTAAGTGTATCGTTTTCAGTCAAGTACGTGCTGGCAGTAAAAATAGCAAGTACACACATGGTTCCAACTACCTCTTGCTAAAAGCATTCATTAATATGAATGAGTTGTCTCACTTTGCATAATTAGTGAAACAACAAAATAACGCCATCCATAGCAGAGAGTGTGCTATTTTCAAACCCTTAGGATACTGAAATTTTGTTCTATATTCTCCTCTATAAATACACGTTATCTGAAGAGTTTGCTTTGTGAGCAGACTTTGACCACTCTTGCTACATTTACTATTAAATAAATACTGCTTTTCATTGCGATACTGTTTGCACCTGATTAGAAAATGCTCCTAGTCTTCTGATTTATTTGTATTACAAATACAGAGTGTTTTAATTTTGATGCCAATGTTTTAGTATTTCCTTATCTCTATCTGAATTACACTCATTATAAAAGTTTTCGGAGAATGACTTATACTTCAGGATTAAACCATTCAAGTGAATGGATCAAATAAATTTGTAATAACCATCTCAAACTGATTATTAACAGCCCTTCCAAAATAAGTTTTCATGGATTTCACTGATGTTACCACTGTTTAATAGAGTTTAACATTGCCATTTTCACTTGCCAAAGTTTTCAAGAAAACATTTTCATATTGTATCACAGTTAATTTGATGACATTTTACTTGTGTTTACAATTTTTTATCTGATTATCTTCAAACTTGTCAATCTTAAGCCTACGTTCTTTCCTGTCTCAGTATTAGCTATCAGAACTTATTTTTATTGTTATAAACTGATAGAAACTTTGTATTTCTAAAGATACTACAAAATTATTATTAATAATAATAATAAAACAAGTTCAATTTTTGTGTTAATAGCATGTACAATTTTCAAGATATTGGTTAAAATTTTGATAAAATAAATTATTTTTAGAAATAAGTGAACAGAATGTTTATACTGTTGATCATGAGAACCAGCTAGATGTTAGTAATATGCTCTCCTAAAATACAGACTTAGAATAGAATAGAATAGAATAGAATAGAATAGAATAGAATAGAATAGAATAGAATAGAATAGAATAGAATAGAATAGAATAGAATAGAATACTTATGTGATCTATGAATATACTAGATGTGTTAAAGTTATACTTCATGGCTTTAAATGCTACACAACCATAATATAACTCCTATAAGTTGAATATTAGATTTGCATAACATTTGTAAAGACTCTGCAGAGACCAGCATACACACAGAACACAGTCAGTGAGTCCAACAGGCCTCGCAGAATGAGACTAATTTTGTTTAATTTGAGTTCCCTGACAACAATTATACGCTTTATGCAAATCTAGACTGAATCTTTACCTAAAAATTCAAAAGTTAATCAGCTGGTAATCTACAAGCAGCGTGACTCTTCACCTGTAATCGCCGGCAATCTGGATTGTTGCGTACGTACCTACCCTCAATACCCAGCTACTCTGTACTAGTAATCGATATCCAACCACTCAGTCTGTGATGAATTAACCGAATTTGAATGTCTGTTAAAACTGAAGGAAATAGAACTGAAAGTGCGCCTGTTATACGTAATTGTCAGGAATCTGACCAGAATGTGACCACAGGATGTTTAAGATGATCAAACTCAAAAATCGAGAATTGCAAGAGAAGCCAAACCAAACTACGTCGAACTGTGAACTCGTGAGCTCAAAAAAGAAACACCAAACAAACATACAACCCGGAAGTTACTTGAAAATGGCAGACGATTCGACGCTCCGAGCGAGAAAACGATTTTCCGAACATTTTCTTAACCTGTATGGGAAAAGTATGTATTGAATATCACAGTTTGTATACTACCTAATGCTATTGTGTGTTTCTGTCATGATATTTATTTGGATTATTATCATTTTATAACGTTGGCGCGATACGATGTTCATGTTGTCGCTGTGAGTGTTGTTGGCCGGTTGCGTTGGTAATGATGTATACGAAATCCACAAAGCCACTGCATAATTATATACTAAAAACCATAATTACTAAATGCACTACAATGTGCCATGCTCGCACAAATCACTACTTCTGCATTTCATTAATTTTATATGACTTTGTTGTATGTCAATTGTTAATCTGAAAAGTTTAACAAATAATAATAAATTTGAACGAAAAGAAGCAAATATGTATGTGTAATGTAGCATATTTGTTCTATTACAAGTGTCTCTCTAATAGAAGTGCAACAAAATCATTCCCTTCATCTTTATAAATATTCCCATATACTTGTATGATACTTTTATTGTAGGGCGTAGATACTTAATGAGACAGATAGTTTGTACAGGGGAAGTGACTATGTACTCAAATTACCAATAAATGACAAAATAACTAACAAATATTTAACAAAAAATTAATTGCAAGTCTGTGGTTATTGACTAGCAATTGCTATCTTCCATTTTGATAAAGTTATAGACAGACACTTTCTATTTTCTATAACCCTGCTACTGACTTACTTACATTGAGTGTAAATGTCCCTGAAAAAAGAAACTCTGATTTGGATTACCCATGGATATGCTTTACAATTAACTTTTAATATTTAAATAATAATTCAAAAATCAGAACAGCAGTTGAAAACTTTTCAACCAGTGACAGCAACTGTGATTTCGACATCACTGGTGTAGATGAATACAATCATTGAAATAACCTTGGCTTCAGCAATCAGCCTTGTCTATACAGTACAAGTACACTCTAATAGCAAATCACAACCTCTCATTTGAATTTAAATCTTTATTCAAAATGAAGAAAATATATTTGTAAGTTAAGAATAAGTGACCATCAACTTATGATTGAGAAAGGGAGATATACTAGACCAAACACAAAACTGGAACACAGAATCTGCACAAGATGTGACAATAACTCAGTTGAGTATGAGTACCATTACATTTTACTTTAATAGATCATTCCGATAAATTTATTTACATTATGACAAACTACCACATTAAGCTTGGTGTGTTTATAATGCAAACAGGTGTGTATTAATAATAGTAAAACACCTGATTCTGTACTAGTTTGTAACTGCCTTTTACTGAGTTTTTTGATTATCCTTTTTACTTTTTTTTATTATACTTGACTATGTTCATCTTCTATAGAAAGAATATCGTCAATAAAGTTATCTTATCTTATCTTTATTAATAGTTACAAAAAATGACAGTTAGCAACATTCATGGGTGTATTTACATTCTAATCAATTACCTTTGTTAGAAAAGTAACATTGAATGTAAATCTACATCATACAATAACCATTCTTTGACATTGTCTAGGTTTGGCAGATTTTGACAAAGAAGGAGAAGAGATACTTCAGAAAGCCAGCAAAAAGAAAGAACCTCAGTCACCATACAACTTATCTTCATTTTTTTGGCTGGTTGCATCAGCTGCTGTGTTTTATTACACAGACTTTGCTATTGCCATTCAAGTAGACCCCAGGATAAATCGGTATGTTAGATCTTACAATTATGTAAGACTAGATTGTTTCTTATAGTGTGTGGGTAATTGAGAGAAATATTTCAGTAGAAAAAAAAAATTTATTATGAAGGAAGTTCTTTCAGCATTTGTGATAATAAATTTGGACACTCAACAAAAAACTGCAGGCAATAAATGTTAATTTATTCACAATTTCATAAATTACTAATTTGACTGCACATCAAGTGCAATAAAATACAAATAGTTTCAAGTAATGGACTTGTTAATTTCAGATATTGGTTCAATATTGGTGTGGTGCTGATTGGTGTAAATGTATTCATAGGAATATATTTCGTTGTGGTATGTAGTTGGATTCGTAAAATCTCATCAGATGACTGGGAGAAGCATTTTCCATTTGCAATTCCATTTGCTACTGCTTGTTTTGCACTTGGATCATTATGGTGAGTTTCATTCTGTAAAACTATTTCTTCTTATCATTATTTTATGACAATGTAGTTTTTTGTTTAATTTAATATATTTCATATTCAGGCTTCCGGGGGAAATGTTCTTCACATAATGCCTGTGGGGAGTCTCAAGCTTTGCCTCCACAATTGTCACTACTGCTATATCTGAGTAGTGGAATTCAAAAAGAATCAAATAAAACCTATTTTATATATAGTTTTACATGTAGTTTATGACAAATCAGTAGAAAATAAATGTGTCAACTCAATACTTGGGTATATTTGAGTTGTGAGGGGACTCAGGTAATGGCAGACAACACCATAGTTGTGTATATGTTGATAATACGAACATATGGCAAGGAGCTTCAAAATTATTAAAATTTTACTGTTACATGTAAACATTTTCTATAATTACAATGAGGACTACAATGACTTGTTTGTTGCAACTGAAATATGGCTTCATACTTGCAATTAGACAAATAACTGCATTGCATGGTGTATTATTATATTTTTAGTACATACGTCTCATGACCAGTCGTTTGTTATTATAACTGTTATCTCTCCTTACCTTACAGCTTGAATGTTGGTCTGTGGCCATTGTGGAAACTTCTCACACCAGTCATATTATTTATACTTTTCATGGGTTTTGTTGTGTTTGTCAGTCTTCTTCCAAGTTTTTGTTAACAGAGAATTTCAATTATGTGGGTTACAATGTTTTACAGTTCTTTCTAAGCTTCACAGGTTTGCCCATACATACCTTAAATAAAGACAAAACTATTCATATGATTATGAGTGAAGAAGAAAGCAGACACTATACTCCCATTGTGTAAACTAAATACATAATACATAGTGACAACATAAGAATAGAAACATTTTATACAATTCTACCCACAATGCAATGTTTAATTTTGCATTTGCATATTGAATATATACGGTACTATACTTTTGTATAAAGAGATTGTGGACAAGGTTTAGTAACTTTTTTTTAGAGAATATAAATTGTTTATTGTCAGTTTTTGTGTTTGCATATACTAGAAATTGAACTATTTATTGTAAAATTTCAACAATCTATACCATATACGCATTTTTCATAAGTGAAACTTTCTGTTATTTGAATACTACTGTGAAATAATTTATTTTGGCTGGAATTAATTTTCACTGAAAAAGCTTTTTGGGCGTTTTGTATGGAATTTATTTTCACTGATTTTTGATGAGTTGAATGTAGAAATTCCAAGCGGAAATAAAGTATTTTACAGTATGTAAAACCATAGTTTTGTAATATCAGATTACCATTCGTACATACCTGTAAAAACTTACAATATGCAAGGTACATAAGCATTTGTTATCAAATTTATTTCAATATATTAATGTACAATGGAAATATCACAGTGGATGGGTAATTTGTTTTTTTCATACATCAATTTGATAATTATTTACTAACTTATATTCAAAGTTCCTGCTTAATCAGATATTTCATTTTTTAATGAAGCTTTCTGAAAGTCAACATTGTGTCTTGATATTGTTCAGTGGCAACTGATCGCTGACTGTACACCTGTAAACATAGTATTCAAAATTTGTTTACAGGTTATTGGCTCAATTTACCTTACAAATGTTCAATATAAACACAACAATTAATTATAAAATGGCAACAACAAAATTCAAATATTTTTGCATAATTGTCTACATTAGCTTTCTTTATTATTTTGATGAAAGGTTTGATGATAACTTTAAATTCTCTTCATGAAAATAATGTCTATATGGTAATAACAAATGGAAAATATTTAAATAAATAAAACTTAATTTATATATGTTGATTGATTTTTATGTTTACAGATGTTTGTGTTTGATTGGCTCCTCTCACTGTATTTACTCTGGGTTATTTGAGTCTATCACACCTAGAAGAAAGTGTCACATTGCAATTGTTAAAGTTATCTAGCAGTTTGTCTTCCATAGACTTTCCAGTCCATGAAACTATATTTTTCAAGGAATTATCAATATTATCACTTGTGGAAAAACTATCTAAAAGTTTGTGTAAGTTAGACATAGTAGTCCACGTCTCTCATGGGTTTTTGCGAGATTTTATTGTCTTAAAGTCAATAATATGCTAAATATGTCCCATTTGAACATCCCTAATGGTTTAAAGGTTGAAGTTGTTTTGTTTTATTACCCATTTTCTTCTTTCTTTCTTTCTTTCTTTCTTTCTTTCTAAAAACTATCAGGTCTGTGCAGTGTCCTATGACATCTATGTACCAAGTGTCATTGAAATGTGATGATTACTACTTGAAATATCAAAAGCTGAAAATTAATTAATTATGCAAATTAGCTAATTATTATATACTGACATTACCCTAAAAACTATCAGGTTTGTGCAGTGTCCTATGACATCTATGTACCAAGTTTTATTGAAATGTGATGATTAGTACTTGAGATATCAGTGGAAAAGCCGAAAATTGATTAATCATTATGCAAATTAAGTAATTAATATTGCACAGATTTTTACCCAAAATTATTCAAATCTGCGCATTAGTTTGGAGCATCTGTGTGCCAAGTTTCATCAAAATACAATGAGTGGTTCTTTAGATATCAGTGGAGCAGTCATGGAACAGCTAAAAATCAGCTAATTATCATGCAAATTAGGTAATTAATATGCATGGATTTTTACCAAAACCTAATCAAATCTGCGCATTGGCCCAGAGCATCTATGCACCAAGTTTCACTAAAAACTGATGTATGGTTCTTGAGATATCAGTGGAACAGATGGACACACCCACGCACACACACACACACACACACACACACATACACACACACACACATACACACACTAACTGCAAAGACTCCCTTTTTGTGCTTCGCACACGGGAGTCAAAAAGATGTGTAGCACAATATCAACGACAGAGTGACTGTGGTTTCAGAGACATTCTTGTGTTGAACGTTCTGTGAATAGCGCCACCAGTGGCGAGCCAATAGATCTATAATACCTTCCACTCGTCACGGTTGTTTATGCCGAAATGCTCGACTATTTCGAAGGTTATTACAAACATAGACCTTGTCTTTTAAGGTATATGTTACAAACCATATAACGACTAACTCTGTTCGCATTGCTATGCCCAGAGTTATGTCTATAACGTGACATATCTATGCGCGGATGTAGTATCGTGAAACGGGTTAAAGAAACATTGGTCTGCATATTTATAGATTTTAACTGAAATGTGTGCAATCGATAAGTAAGTAATAGGTGCATGTAGCGTGAGCCAATAGAAATCATTCAGCCTGAGGGGGCGTACTCGAACTCATCATTTATACAGTGTTGCAACAAGTAAATAATTCATTCCATAAACGCAATTTTGTTATTTCAAATGAAATAGAAAATTGTCGAACAAAAAACTGTAAATTACCGAATGCAAAATATTGATCATAAACGTTAACTTGTGTTGTCTATAATTACACAATTCAGCGTAATGGAATGAAATAGGAATACCACCATTCATAAACAAAATTGTCAAATGATGAAATATGTAATTTATAAACAAAATGCATTTTTATGGAATTTATTTAAAAACAATTATTTGCAAATATTGCAATGTATGGATTGTCATGGTATACATCATACAATAGTTTCCGGACTCAATCGCAATACAAATGCAACTCCTGTATTCTACACACACAGCTTGAAAGTTCGACGATATGCAGTGGAGGATTTGCCGTCGTACCTCGTACACAGATACCCCACAATACAAAGGCGTCATTGTAAGAAGCGCCCTTTATAACACAAAATAATATATGATGTGATTTGGGAAAATTTTACACCAGAATTGCCAATAAAAAGCTCTACGCACAATGATATCCAATGCTACAAACAAGTTAACCCACCTAATCAATCGGCAGAAAAATCTGGAACAGTGAACTGGAACTATGTCATACGAGACAAAGGTTTATTTTCCACCACCGAAACAGATACCACGGATATTAAAGTTGGCAAAAATACAATTCATCCCAGAGAAAGCACAGCAATAAATCGAACATTTAGAAACAACAGTATCTGAGAGAATGTTGTCATGAAGTGTCATGTAATTTTGGCAATAACTAACACACATCTTGATTGTTAGAAATATCCAGGTATGACTTTATATATCATATACCCATTTTAAATGTGCATCTTAATCTATGGAATGTTTCAAAGTTTCTTCCACATGCACTATTCGTGTAGTATATATGTTAATAGTATATAAATATTTTAATTATTCTGTCCAAATCAACACTATTCAAAATAAATCTAAATTCGTGTTGAATATAAAACAAATCTATTAAATCGGGAGTGGTTATGTCCCGGATACGTGTATATAGACATGACTAAACAGGACATTGCTTTGTCTTCTTTCTACATGAATCATAGGATATGACGTGCACATGTAATAACGCTTTTGTGTGTAACAGGTACATGTGGGATCAACGCGTCAAAGCTATTCAATCTACTCGATCGATATTATATTGCGAATTTCTCATACAGGGGACTCTAGTACGCAGTCGATTTGTGAAAGCCCTCGGGCCTAGAATAACCATGTGGTAAATGATGGCGAAACGAGAATGGGCAGTATCGATTTACCTATACTTAACGTGGTTGATGCTTGAATGATTTGTGTAACAAAACAAGCACAATAGATAAATAAATCAGAAAACCTGAGAGTCAATAATAACACGTACTCTGTGTCTGTTTATCGCATTTTGGACGCAACGCTGTGTCAACTAGTGCAACACAGTTTATTGTAATGGACGTCAATCAAATAGGACGGGACAAAACAAATGCCATCTCGTTTTACAATCCAAATTGTGAACAAACACATTGAATCCTGTCTCGACAAGTTTAGCGAGGGTGATATTTAAATACACGGCATCAAATAACAAATTGAACAATACATGTCAACAAAGAATTATTAGAACTAGAAAGAAATATAAGAGTTTAATTTTAAGTATCACTTCATTCGTGTTAAGATCTTATTGCTTTGATGTAACTTTGATGAAATTGTGTTGTCCAGACCTTACGGGTAGGAGGGTGTTCTTATTTTGAAAAATAAAAACCTCATGAAATACTTGAAAGTGAGCTATTTTTTTCAGTTACTGAATTCATTTGTACATTCCGTGTGTTGGATTGGTACTTAGACACACAAACTCATTTTCGGATTGTTTTGAACCATCATTTTTTTTCTGGACTTACAATCGGACGATATGACGTCAATCCCCGATATTACACAGAAGTTATTTATATCACCATTCATGGTTGATGTTTCTAATTACCAAGCAATTGTTGTTACAACATAAATATCGGTTCAGTTCTCTTCTCTTTGACCCAACACAATGATTTCTACTGGTCAGATAAAACCATGAGATATCGCACGTACTCCTTTATTGTTATTTGAATCAAGCGCAAACAATAGAAGTCGTCACGACATTATAATGCTGTACGTTATACAGGTATGCTCTGACGTCACCGTTTAGACTACCATGTGGACACAGATCAACAGTTTCCATAACACAGAAACTAAACAATGCTTTCAACACAAAAGTAAATAAATTGCAGTTTTTGTGTCTTTCAACTCAGACACAAAACATTAGTTTATTATTGTTAGATACGTCTATGTATAAATAGTGATTCATAATACTACAATATGACCAGGCAGACATAAGGAAATGGTATTGGTATTAGCATTGACTCTTCGCTATAAGATTAATTATAATTACCAATATGTCACTTGTGTATTGTACCGACTATATTTGTTCTTAAACTCATCACACAATTTCGTTGTTACTATTTCTCGAGTTCAGTTGTTCCTCCCCAAAAAAGACCCAGA